AGAAAAGAACCAATGCTAATAAATTTTAAAATCTAAATAACCAAAAGCTTACTAGTATTTGCTATGGGTGATTCCATTGCATGTGTGCACTTTTTAAATGTTACCTTTGCACCGTTTTAGACTAGTACAGTAGTAGTTAGACAAAGGTGCAATAATATTTATCTCTATAACTACTAATTAATGGCAAAAATTCACATTTAGCATAGATATATGCATAGTTTAACCAAAACTAATAGGTAAATATACAATATTGCAAACCTTTATCATTTAAATCATAGGTGATATGTTCAGTGTCAGAAAATTAAAAAACCAAAAAGTGCAAATTGCAAAGTAATGGTGCCATCCAGTAACATAAATACACAATATTGATGAGGTCATATTGGGTATGTCTGAATAATAAGTTGAGGTTATGCAATTTAAGAAACATTTACGTGAACAGTTCACAGGTGACACACACTAGTGGCAAAGCAAAACATTAATTACCATGCCCAAAAAAGCATACTGTATACGGCCGACATACATAGTTCTTTAGTTAATAATACATGCAGCTCTGTGTTCTGTATGAGACATGATATCCTGTACACAATCGTATATATCAATTTGTCACAACCACAGGCAGCACCAAACATCAGATGCCAACTAGCACTAGCACTAGCAGCAAGTCACACCTAAATTTCTACATGATCATGCTACAATAAACATTTAACCAACCTCCCGTAAACATAGACTATTGATCCTACCTTTTTAAATAACTGTACAATCCACGATCAAAGTATCTGCAAGAAAGAATTCAGTCAAATTAAATGGCTATAACAGAGTAAGAGGGATAGAATCTGGAGGGGAAACCTTCATTATCAGCATATATGCTATACTTTTGTAACCCAACTAACTGTACACTTTTTGTTTCACATAAATCTTTGTGATATAACAAAAACTACTGAATTTTTAAGGTTTTATGATTGTATTACATTCCTGCATAGGTATTAATTAGAGAAAAATATACAGGACATTTCAACAGTAATATCATGGTTTTACATTGTAATCTCGTGCTGCCACCTACATTCACCCTACGCTATTAATCAATTATATTAATGGTAATTTAATTGTAGCCATAGAAACTCCCAGTGACATATTAAAATAAAAATGTCCGCAAAACACACATATATGCATGCGGGTATACAAAAAAAATCAATAAAATCTTGACCTGTTTACACGGAATCAGCTAGGCAACCAAGAAAATATGTAACTTATTAACAAATACTTATGGCAAAGAAGCAATGTTAACAAAAACATGATTTTCCTAAGATCTAAATGAGTACAGCCTTCATTTTTAAGACTACATATTTAAAAGTAGATATTACTGCAGAATGCAACAACAACATACACTGGTACGATAATGCCAGACAGCCTTCCTAGTCTGCTAGGTGGTTTCAAGAGCATGCTCTCTTAGAAAATAAGGATCAAAATAGTGGATTCTAATTACACTGAATATTACACATTGTTTCGAACTACAGGAAGTATGTGACAGTGGAAGGTGGAGTGCATGACCATTTTAGTCAGTGCTCACTGCTAACTGGAAAGTCTGGAATACAGATTTACTATACTATGAACTATGAACATATCTATACAATTACCATGAAAGACTAGTATAGCAGCTGTTGCATCGATGATGACATTTCAAAATTCCACATTAATGAATGTTCAAAATGCATTACTAGATTACAGAAATAGGTCACATGAGTTGTCACAGGTAATTCAGTTCCCGTTAACAGGTTTCTATGTACTAAAGGTTAATATATGCGCAATATCGTGTAAAAATCAAAAATGCAATGCCGAGGCATAATAGAGATAGAGCCGAGTGCCAGCCACATGTAATATAGGCGTTCAAGGCTTATATAGCAGATGGCAGGCAAATAGGAGGTTATTTATAGAATTAGTGAAACCGTTAAGCTAACTTAAGAACCAGGGATAGTAATGACGAAGTCGTGAATGAGAAAACGATAGCATATGGCATGAGCATCACTGGCGCTCATAGGGTCTATGTCCCCCAGGGTACTGCCGGAACGTACCCTGGGTACGGTCCAGTATACCGGAACGTACCCTGGTAACTATCTGATATGGTTAGGGTTAGGGTTAGGGTTAGGGTTAGGATTAGGGTTAGGGTTAGGGAGTAGGCGTAGGCGACTCCCTAGACTCGTTAGTGGAGTAGGCGAGGTACGGTCCGGCATATTACATAGTACCAGGGTACGTTCCGGTAGTACCCTGAGGGACATAGACCCTCTCAGCATCACTGGAACCTTACAAACATTCTGAAAAGACATCAATGCTGGAACAGCTGGTATAACAGTCTTTCATGTTCATTTTATACATATGTTCATGATTATACATGTTATCAAGAGCACATAAAGAAGGAGAGCGTACAACGGTGAAATGCTGAAACCATGCTGCAGTATTAGTCAAATTAATAAACTTTCCCCGATTCTTTGCAGTATTATTGATCAGCTGTCCTACCTTGTTAATATAAAACAAACCGCATGTCCCTACGATGCCTCTACGCTGAGATAATGAGCGGTGAAAATCTGGTATCTTCGCCGAAAACCGACTCGAGATCAGTTTTACTGCGACTGTCTCTCGTTTTCTGTACTGTATGTTGCTTCCGGTCGCCGCTGTGTAGCGCTGACTCGATACGTTATTACTACAGCGTTACTACATCCAGCGTAAGGGGCGGGTCATTACCATGGCGATAAATAACAAGACGTTTTTGTGGAGTAATGGCTGCGTCAATGACTGGAAATGCGAGAAAAGATAGTAGAAGGAAAATAAATTTCATTGTCAATGAATGACAGAAACACGCGAGGTTTCCCGAAGCTATCGCCAGAACGAGAGACAGTCGCAGCCACTACGTATCTCGAGTCGGTTTTCGGTACAAATACCAGATTTTCACCGCTCATTATCTCAGCGTATATATCGTCATATATAACATGCATCGTAGGGACAAGCGGTTTGTTTTATATTAGCAAGGTAGGAGAGCTGATCAATAATACCACAAAGAATCGTCAAAATAAAATCGGCAAAGTTTACTAATTCGACTAATACTGCAGCATGGTTTCAGCATTTTACCGTTGTATGCTCTCTTTCCGTTTAGTTGTACGCTTGACGTACCATTACCGTTGTACGCTCTTGATGTTATATACTTACTTCCACATGTCTGAGTACAGATGGATGCGGGAAATACATTTGGGTTGATGAGGCGGATCTAGTCCATCCACTTTAGCAACAGTTCCAGGCAGCCCAAACATCACCACATATTTTACATGGAAGAACTGACCTGTATAAAAAGATCATTTGGAGATATACTTGCACACCAGATATTTTGTCAATACTGATTTTGCCATTTCACTAGTACGATTTGAGAAAAGAGAATGTTCTACTGGAACAATCAATATAGCATGCATGTAGTATCTATTAGAAAAACCATAGATATAAAACAAAATAAGACATGCACTCATGCGAAAATGTACAATTACATATATAATAAATATAGAGATATGAAAATATATCACACAGAAAAAAGTGAAGTTTAAGGTAACACATTTTTACCTACCATGAGACCAACCCAAGCCACCAAGCGGCCATCTACCCATGCTCTTGACAGTATAAAGGTCAAAGATCAATGCATTGAAGTGGTAGAAATGAAGAATGAGCTCTAGATATGTAGCCCAGAACATGACTCTCATGAATTCCCTAATGATGTAGAATATCTTGTCTTTAGTCCATATTCTTGCTGTTTGTTTCATCTGTAATACATAATGATGCAATCACAAACAAACACATTTTTACACGTTTGTGTAGACTTGGCAAGAATATGAAATCTATTGAGCACTGACCTAGCTGGCCCTCAGTGACAGAAGCACTATCCCTGTAACATTGAGAATGATTCTCTTAAGGGCCGGACACACTAGGCGATTTTAATGCGATCTAATCGGGCGACTTTATCGCCCGATAATATTGCCCGATTCTATCGCGCGAGTCGAGTGGACACATCACGCGATTTAGTCGCGCGACTGAAATAATCGCCCGATAATATCAAAACGTTTTGATCCATGCGATTGAATCGGGTGATTAAATCGGGCGACTAAATCGGCGGCGACTGACTGGACACATTAGGCGATTTTCACCGGCGATCGAGTCGCCCGACTGAGTCGCCCGATAAAATCGCCTAGTGTGTCCGGCCCTTTAGTGGTGGGATTAAACTAATGATCACACCACCTCATATGTTGACTAATAACAACTCACCATAACTAACAGAGAAAGGGAGCTGTGGAATTTTGTTTTGGGTGGCAAGATTGAACAATATGGCCTTCGATTAGTCTGATGTTGTACTGTGTACGATCATCTGCCATTTGTCAAAAATAAAAACGAATTTAATGCGAGGATTTCTCATGTTTTGACCCACCGTTTTTAGGGGTGCACCAGAACTTGGATCCGGCCGGAACTATCCGGGCAGATCCCAAATTTTTCAGAGTTCCGGTTCCGGCCGGAACCCTTCAGGAACAGTCGGGCGGAACCAAAACTTTTTCCTAATTTCATTTCTGCTACAAGCGTCATCAAGATTAAAAGATCAGTCACTGAATGTAGTTGAGAGTCAATAGAGTCAACTTGCTGACAATATAGTGTTAACGACATCACACTAATCGGTCCAAAAAACGCTTGCCACTTGAACATTGGCTAACTAACTGAACTGAACCTAACTGATGTTAGGTGATTCACAAGATTTTCTTTTAAAATCAAATACTCTTAGAGCCACAGGAATGGCATCTGTCTGTTAGTTAAAAATAATCGACTAAAACCAGGGAAACTGCAACATGCAGGTTTTGCCACAGAATTCGCTCGCGAATAAGATGCCAGAATTATGCACTGTAAGCAGCTGATTCATACACCCAACAACCATCCTGTAATTAGAACTTTGAGCATTGTCCTACTCGCCTGAGTGATGTGCCTGCTAATAATATTTCGTTCAGGCCGAATGAGTTTGCGCAATACTGGGTCAAAACTGTCAAGTTCATTCCCAGCTTAAGTTCCGGTTCCGGCCAGGTAGTTCCGGCCGGAACTTTTTTCAAGTTCCGGCTGGTTCCGGTTCTGACCGGAACTTGAGAAGTTGGATCCGGTGCACCCCTAACTGTTTTTCATATTTTCTTAACCATTCTGATACCTACCAGTACTCCTTGCATAACACCAAATGTATATAGTAAGGCTAACATATGTCACAGAACACTCGCATTCTTGCCACCAATGTGTGCAACAATCTGCATTTCAAATTAGATTGTTTACATATATGTCAACGCACCTCGCGTGTGATTTTTGTTCTCGCGAGACCAGAACCCTGTCTCTATACACTAGGTTAATTACCTTTGTATACATTTCAAGATAGATACCAGTCTATAAATATTTGCGTCACGTAACTACATGCACTCGTTTTGTGGGTCCATTTGAACATTCCATTATCACGAATCTGAAGATGCATAGCGGGTGCACACGTGTTTGCCGTTGATTCACTGTATTATAGCCTATAACAGCACAAATTTTGGTGAGACCCAATTTGTCTGTTGTGCGAGTGTTCTATGATATGTTACCCTTAAGCTGGGTTTACACTACCGACTTTATGTTGGCGAATTAGCGAGTTAGACCAATTTCGCAATTCGGCAACTCCGAGTTGGTGAAAATAGAACATGTTCTAATCTCCCAACTACGAACTAGTTGCTATCAATCGGTTGGTCGCGCAACTTTTGCGTTTACACTGCCGAATGTCGGTTGTATAGTTGGGAAGTTGGTCGAATTCGCCAATTCGCCAACATAAAGTCGGTAGTGTAAACCCAGATTTGCTATATGCATTTGGTGTCCTGCATGGAGTACCGGTAAGTATCAGAACGGTTAAGAAAATATGAAAACGGTTCGTAAAAACATGGGAAATCCTCGTTTTAAAGTATAAGGTACTCTACTGAAGAGGAAGAGTCAAAGGTTGATCAAATTGATAGATCAAAGCTATGGATTGCAGCATCAAGTTCAAATTTTACAATTAAGTAGAGAATTCCAATATAGAGTTAAGCAAGAGTGAATGCTAATTTTTGCATGACCATGATAAATCATGTAAAACCAAAAGGTTATAAGCTTAACACTCAGAAAGCTTATATGAAGAGGGGTCCAGAACAAGCTTTGATAATTATCAGATATTCATCTGGTAGCTTTATTCTCTATAGCTCTGTGTAGCCCCTTCGCTCCAGCCATAGGGGATCAAGATCTGTAGCAGGAGCGAAGAAGCTACACCAGTAGAGCTATAATCTGTATGAAATCCAAACATAGTTGTACTAGTTTACAGGGAGACCTGTCTGGCAAATCATATTCTAACATGAGCAGAACACTAGTTATTAAAAGAGCAAGTTTTTGAATAGACAACAGTAAGACTGCCCAAGAAAACAAAACGAACATACCAAAGTGAGACACGTTCCTGCAAATATAATGAATGTGGGCATTCCATCCAGGTTGCTACTAATAACAACATCAAAATATTTGTAAGTATGGTATAAGAGACATATTTAACAGACAGATAGTAAGAGATAAAAATGGTCTATTGCTTCAGTTGCTGCTGCAAACTAGTAATTAACTAGTAAACCTAATACCTCAGACTATCTGCCTGCTGTAAATTGTCTGTAAATGTAACCCGAGTATGTAATATAATAAAGGTCTCAAAAACATACCTGAATTTCGTATAAATCATATGTAAGCAGAGGGCCAGTAAAAAACAGTGGTAGGTAGAAACAGTAAGCAAAGAAACTAAGCATGTCTTTCAACCTAGAAGTTGGCTGCGGCCTATAAACAAAAAATGAACACATTTTAAATTAAATCCAATCTCATCTCACATACATCTAGGATAAAAATGCTATATATAGCAAAATATCACTTCTACATCTAGTTAACTGAATGTTCATGATATAGTGCAAAGATTTTCAGGATTTAATTTATATATAGAACATATACTCTGCTCAACATAAACGTACTTTATTTACCTTTTCGAATATTCTATTGATACACTAGTGTAGCGAAGATTCATCATTGCTGTGGTAAACAACAGCTGGTAGAAATGTTCCTCTGATTGAAATTTCATGTATGCTTTCTGTAAAAATTCCAAACCTAATAAATATCAATACATACACTTTTGAAATACACAATTGAAACACTTTTGACGTTGCCACATCTACTTCACTCAATATCATGCTCTGTATATCAGAAAGGACATGAACTTAATTAAAAATTACATACACCATTGCATGCATTATTAAATTAAGTGAGCTTGTATCGTCACACTTGTATATTATCACCTTTGAAATTTTGAACGCTAAAAATAATGCCATCCATATAAATGATAGCAAAGTACTACATATCTTGTTGTGTCGTCTGGCAATATACCTGCAAATCATGGAAAGCCGAGATGTTGAGTGCGGAAAGAAGCACTAAACTGACAGACCAGCATGCGGCTGTTCTTCTCAGTTGTGATACACAGTACATTATTACACAGTGTATGACCAAGTATCCAACAGACAGCGGTCCCATCACGTGGACAAGAGCACACAGTGAATGAATCAAGTAGAAATGCTCCTTGTACTGAAAATACAACGATATTTGTTACTGTGATGTATTAGCAATGGTGTTAGTCATTTCCCTGAATTCAATTGACTATGATTGCCACTTGAAATACACAAATATAAATTCTCATGAATCTGTGAAACAGTTCATAAAATTCTACAATAAATGACGAATTCCTGCACTGTTCATATTTATCGGTGCATAGTGAAACATCTTGTGGAATTCTCTGATAATACCTTGCAGCAGAACCTGTCCACCAGCCGGCCTAACAGCATGTGGCTGCAATACCATGGTAGTACATGCCAAAACCAGGTGGACCAGAAATGCCACTCATAATTCGAGATATCCTATAAAAGTACGTATTAAACATTGGGACTGGAATTAAATTCATCGTTAAAGAGCTACAAAAACAGTTTATGAATATTAGGTTTCTCTTGATCCCGAGCTCCTTGTGTGATAAATACCTTACTGCCTCATGTGACATATGACCAAAATAGTTTAAACTGGAGAACCTTAGGTTATACTTTCAGACCAATTTCATTATTAATAGAATATCACCCTAGAATAACCTTGTAATACAAGTGACAGTTGATTAGAAACCAATCATGTCTCCTTCTTACCATTTATTAATTGTAAAATTATAGCACTAGTTATCAGCTATAGTACCAACGACTTTTGAGTATAATTTATCCTCAATTCTCCAGACTATACCTGCTCATTAAAGCAAAGCACATCCCAGCTTTTACAAAGCATTACAAATGTTTATTCTTCACAACTCATTAGTACTATACTACCTTCGTTCGTCCTCCTAGTATCTTCCAACCTTGATTAAAATCATCTGTGTTCATGATATACTCATTTTCTATATGAAATAGAGATCACGTTTAATACTATAAAAATAAAATGTTTAGTAAAAATATACGAGTGTATGATAAAGACCACATTCAGTACTGGTACTATCATGAACCTACACACATTTTTAAATACTACATAGGTTCATTGTAGGCATATTAATAAAGTTACCATTTATACACATTTAAAAAATTTGTGTGAATTATGAACTTTGTAGAATGCTCTTTTATGTTTAGACTATATAGTGTTTTAGTGTAAATGAGTTAATTTTACTTTATAACGTATTATTACTATCAGTATTCTAGATTACTGTGAATTGTCTGTAATATCACAGTCATCTTCTAGCAATCCTACCTTTGCATACACAGTACGTTTGATATGAAGCATAAAGACATATGCCTGTCCAGGAGAAAACATAGAGCACCACCTCTGCTGTTGGAAGGCGTGCTGGAAGCTGCTTGGCCATTTCTGATAGAGAAATATAAACAATACAATCCACTAGAGTAACCAATCTACTAGGTAATAGCGACTGCCCCTGTATAATTTCTAAGCATGTAGTCCCTGTTATCTAAAAGAAAACAGTGAAGATCAGGCTACAAGTTTGCCTCGAGCTGACTCACACTTAGTGTTGCCGCATTTTGATTGTTCCCACAAACCGACTCGTTTAAATAGGAACATGTTAAAGGAAGAATATGGCTGTGCACGGGTCGCTAGTAGTTTTTAGTTGTTATAGGCTAGTCGGCCCTGAAATGTTGCATTTTCCAGTTCTGGAAGACCTTTTGCCAGACCGAAAAACTTCCAGCATGTGATTGTGAACCATGTAACTTGTATCTATCAATCAATCAAGTTGTTAAAAGATGTCAAATGGAAAAGGTTGAATTAAACATTGGAGGCAGAGGAGTTTGAATTTCTCTAATGGATCCGACTGTAAATAGTGTGTAAGATATGTATAAATTATGAAAAAGTAAAACTTGTAAAAAATTACAAATGTGTATATTTCGATAGTTTAAAGTAATGTAAGGACCACAATGTAAATAAGTGTGCTAGTCCTTGGTAGTTAACTAATTTCATGAATTCATAATTTATTGTAACACTAACAGTGTATCATGGACTGTAGTGTAAATACCTAAATAAAGAATACATAAAATTAAAAAAATTAAATAAACCATAGCCTAAGAATAACTGTTATTCTTAGTCTATGCATGCTACTACTAGTACCACAGGCACTTGGAACGTCTCAATAAAGAAAAATAATGCTAAATAAACATGAAATGTATTTACTACCAAAGTCTAAAATGTTTCTCTACTCCGAGTACTCTCTTTTGCCTATTATTGCCGATAATTTCCTGTAAATGCTGCTCAAATGCTCCTCTGCAACGCACACGTACACCGCACGCACGCTGCTGCACGTTTACACTTATTAAATATATAAGTGCTCGTTTACACTACGCGAGTAAGTGTAAATGTGCAGCGGCGTGCGTGCGGTGTATGTGTGTGTGTTGCAGAGGAGCATTTGAGCAGCATTTACAGGAAATTATCGGCAATAATAGGCGAAAGAGAGTAGAGAAACATTAAGACTTTGGTAGTAAATACATTTCGTGTTTATTTAGCATTATTTTTCTTTATTCATTATTGAGACGGTTTATTCCCGGTTGGCCTACTCCCATTTTGCCTACGACAAAATTCCCATTTCGCCTACAGCAAAATTCCCAGTTGGCCTACACCCATTTCGCCTACTCCCAATTCGTCTACGGCCACGGCTCAAAATCTACCCCATTCCCATTTCGTCTACGATCAGTTTGTTCACTAAATAATCATTTATTATTATTAATAATAAAATATGGTTTTGATTTGCATACATAGACTACAGGAACCAGAACTAAAACTAAAAGAAAACATAGGTACAAATAATGAGAACACAATTTGACCAAAATAGAAAATACAGTAGCATAAAGATGAAACGATGGGAGTAGGCGAAATAGGAATATTGCCGATTCTGAGAGTTGACGAAATGGGAGTAGGCGAAATGGGGCGTAGGCCAACTTACTGGGATGTTACGGGCAGGGGCGGCGCCAGGGTATTTTCTTAGGGGGGGGGCGAAACCAGGGGCGTTTACAGGAACATGCGAAGGGGGGGTCTGGGGGGCTCTCCCCCAGGAAATTTTTGAAATTAGACCCCCTCAGATGCGTTTTCTGCGCGAGTAGGGGTGGTCCGGACCCCCTGGACCCCCCCTGTACACGCCCCTGGGAACTGTAGAATCTGATACCGTGTGCGCTTGCACTGACGGGTGGGGTCCATGGGGTAGATTCATGATTCATCAAGCTGCGTACGCAAAATATTTTGCGTAAATCTTGTGTACGCAATCGACGTTGCTTAGTTGCGATTCATCAACACAGCTATTTAGTACATTTTCGTACGATTTCGCGTACGCAAGCGAGGCCGTTTTAGGTGCGATTCATCAAGCTAAAATTTACGTAAACCTTTGCGTAACTTTACACGAGCTGACGAGGTGCCGTAAACCACTCGAAATTTCCGCAGGTTTTTCCAGCATACCGCAGCATGCACTATTTTATTGAAAAAAAAAACATTATAAAATTACAATGTCAGGTTTTCGTGTCCTGTCGGGTCCGGGTTTATTCAACCCGTAACCCCAGAGCGGCGGCGCACAGAGGGCGCTAGATCGGGTGGGGGGGCGGCGGGCTGGGGGGGGGGTGGGGGGGGGGGGCGGGCGGTGCGCCCCCGCTTATATCATTATGGCAAAGAAAAAAAAGAAAAAGAAAAGAAAAGAAAAAGAAAAAGAAACAAGGAAAAGGAAAAGAAGAAAAAGCAGAAAAAGAAAGAAATCATGCAAAATGTCTTTGCAGAATCGAGTGGTGGGGTGGGCTGGGTTGTTGCACCACCCCCTTCGATTTTGCAAGATAAAGGCTAAAGAAGCCAAGAATATTCTCTGGCAATAATGAGGGGGATTGCCAAAAAATGAGTGATGTAGCCTACAAGCTGGATCCACTTTCATCGAAAA